AGTAAGAGGGTAAAATGCGGCTCTTCTACAGCACTTGTCACACTTCAAGTGCTCAGCATACACGGTGGGCCAGTGGCTACCATGCTCGACAGCACACACAGAACATTTCCATCAAGACGGAAAGTTCTCTTGGACAGCACTCAATAAGGGGCACAGCTAGGGGAGCACAAGACAGAGATTTCTGTCCTCAGTGAGAAAAACAGCCCCGTGTCAAATGAGCAGCATCAGGGAAAGTCCTGCAAAGGGACAGAGAGCAGCAGAGGAGGCATGGGGGCGAGGCTCTGCTCAGGACACAGCATGCGTGCAGGGAAGACGGCCAGCACTGGAACACAAGGGGCTCTCGTCTCTCCTGGCAGAGGGCAGGCTCCCACACTTGACAGTGGCCTGGAGTTCTGAGAGACAGGCTCTCTAACCATTTCCAGTAGCATGAGGTCACCAGCTAAGCATCTCTGGTCATTTCAGTTTGGGCTGATTCACATCGTACACTGACATGAAAACAGGAACTCTGTTTAGTCAAGACTTCACAGGAGCTGGCGTGAATGCGTCACAGCTGTGGAACGCCAGAGACAGAGATAACACAAGCATCGGATGGGTGCACGCCACGGTCCAGGCTGCCCAGAAACTGCAGGACTTCCCGAGTCTGTAAAAGCCACCAGAGCCAGGGGCCCCGGCAGCAGAGGGCTGTGCAGTTAGGTGCAAATACCCAGCATGTGCTCTGTGCTCTCTTCTGATGGGTCACAGGCCTCCTCATTCTGCACGACAGCCTTGAACAGCTGGAGGAGTGCTAAAGGGCTGTGGAACCACACAACTCATCTCTCAGGGCTGGTCCCTAAGAATTAGACCATAAGGAAATGCAGATGCTGGTGGAAGAGGAAACTTCCTCAAGTTAAGTGCACTGCTCTCCGAAATTGGTAGCGATGGTCTGGAAGTTTCCAACATGCTGCAGGTTTGCAGCAATAAACCCCCAAACTAAACACTGCTCCTGATGTACATGAATGTCTCCAGAATCTGATGCATAGTTCTTCATCCCTTTGAACCTCACTGGGAGACATGGCTTCCTGGGACAATGTCTGATACACTCAGAGGGCCTGGCAGGGCCACGCTCAGGACACTGAAGGTGCAGGACCCTCCCGGCTCCTGACAGCCAGAAGGCAGAGGGCCCTCACGCCAGCCTGCTGACCCCTGCACTCTCTCCTCCCTGGCTGGCAGTGGTCATCACTTCTCAGTGAGGGCAGGTGCTTCCAGTCAGCAGCAGGCATGACTACCACACTCCGCAGTGTGAGGGAGACACACTGGGACTCCAAGGGGCTCTGCTGTCAGGAAACAGAGAAGAATTCGATGCACAGATGTAGTGCCCCCACCTCTGGACTGTGGCTCTGAGTGAGGGAAGAGGTGGGCAGGCAGCTACACTCCATAAAGGGTGATGCCCAGAAAACAACACAGACAGGCAGGTGAGCCGAGAACAGATGCAGCTGGAATTCGGGGCCAAGGTGCTCACAGCTACATCTACACTGATCAGGGAGGTATACACACCAACAGAGAAATAACGACCTGCACTGTAAACACAGAGCTTCCAGCTGTTCTGGGGCCTTCCACCACCCCACATGGCACTCACTCACAGGACTCTTGTCCTGGTGCTGTGGCTAATGCCAAACAAGGTTCATTCCAAAGTGTTTTGGACACAAAGCACCATTGAATGCATATAGAAACAAGCACCAAACAAAACCAGGAAGCGAAATACTTGCTGTTCCTCCCTAGGGTTCCTACTGCAATTGTAGACCATGCACATGGCAGTACAGCCCACACAGGTAGGGGAAGCGCCCAGGGCTGCTGCTGTAAGTGGAGGCGTGGTGAAAACAGGGAGCAGGAGCTGACCTGTCTGCTCCTGCCATCACTACCCAGGCTCTCGGTTCTCTGCGGACTGCAGCCAGCAGGTGCTCTAGAAAGCTACTCAGACGGCTTATCTGCCATCATTCCCACACTCAGGGTCCGGTAGCACAGACCCCACGTTCTGGATGATGGAGGCTATGTCCCTATGAAGCCCTACATTTGCATGTGTTCTCTCATCTAAAATTTTCCCTGCAAGATTTGAAGGCATTCCTATGACAAACACAGACCCGGAAAACAGGAGGGGTTGGGGGCAGACAAGGGTGGTCGTTTCAAAGGAGCACAGGTAGAAGGCACCAGGTAGAAAAATGCACAGAGAAGGTAGGGTTGGTTTTATTGACAGGCAGTTCACTGAGACCTACGGTGGATCTCTTAAGATTAAAAAATACTGCTTTGCTTGCTTTTTCACGGTCTGAATTTTAAAAAGTGTCTCAGATAAGCTGTTGGCTGATGAAATTCACCCTGCAGCCTGCTGAGGAAGGGTGTGAACTGCTTCCCCGGCCGCAGGGATCTGCAGGTTAGCCCAGGCTTCGGAAGAATGGGGCTGAACAATCACGCACCTTTTCATTAAGACTCAGGACATAACCATGAAGAGGGGAATTCTGCCTACAACCAGACAGAGCCTGGAAACTGGTCCTTCCCCAGCTGACTCTGCTGAGAACACAACCCAGGCCAGTGGGTAGAGTGCAGCCTGGTAAGACCCTCAAGCAGAGAACATAGCTAAGCTGTGCCCAGACTTCTTGCCTATAGAAACTGACAGACAGGCAATGTGTATTGTTTCCAAGAGAAACAAGACTGGGGCAGGTGCTGGGTGCAGCAGTTAGGATGCTTGCATCCCGTATCAGAGCGCCTGGGTTCCATCTCCCCGGCTCTGCTCCCCATTCTAGCTTCCTGCTAATGTGTACTCTGGCTCAAGTAGTTGAGTCCTTGCCACCCATATGGGAGATCCAGATTGAATTCCTGGCTCCTGGTTTCAGTCTGGCCCAGCCCCAGCTGTTATGGGCATTTGGGGGAGTGAACCAGTAGATGGGAGAACTCTTTCTCCCTCTCCCACTCCCTCCCTCTGTCTCTTTTTAATAAGTTGGAAAAAAAAAAAAAGATTGGTGGGAAGCCTAGAGTCTCTCCACATCTCTCTCTCTTTTTTTTTTTTTTTTTTTTTGACAGGCGGAGTGGACAGAGAGAGAGAGAGAGAGAGAGAGAAAGGTCTTTCTTTACCGTTGGTTCACCCTCCAACGGCCGCCGTGGCTGGCGCGCTGCGGCCAGTACACTGCGCTGATCCGAAGCCAGGAGCCAGGTGCTCCCTTCTGGTCTCCCATGTGGGTGCAGGGCCCAAGCAGTTGGGCCATCCTCCACTGCACTCCCAGGCCACAGCAGAGAGCTGGACTGGAAGAGGAGCAACTGGGACAGAATCTGGTGCCCCGACAGGGACTAGAACCTGCAGTGCCGGCGCCGCAGGCGGAGGATTAGCCTATTGAGCCGCGGCGCCGGCCTCTCCACATCTCTTTAGCTATCCATTGGCAGGCAGATTCTCAAGGAGAGACTGAAATTCAGGAGTGGTCACTGAGAGAAAAACAAGAGTTCGCACAGAGCCTTCAGTCATCCCTTCTCTGGATTCTTCTTTCAGAAGAAAAAAAACACACTGTTCCTGCAGGTCACAGAGTCCTACCTGAGGTTAGCGGGTGGTGTCCCACGAGTAGCTCTAGCCTGTGCCGTTGTCATGGGCACCGCACTGCACAACTACACCTGGGACGGCTCTGCACAGCTCTGCTCTCCCTCAAGCTATGCGTCACTGACACGCCCTGGGACTCTGGCCTAGAAAACAGTCCCAGGCTCTCCCCAGACCCAGTGAATCAGAATGTCTAAGTGCAAATGCCCCAGGAGATTCTTATCGTCAGGTGTACCTGGGCAGCATGGAGTTGCCTCCCTACGTCCTCACTCAGTCCCAGGCAGCTACTGTTCACCTCACTGGATCAGAAACAGTAATTTGTCCAAAGTTGGTGATGTTGGCAATGCAAGTCCAGAGATTCGAACCTTCTGGCAACCAGCAAATCAGGTTATTTATGGTGCTATATGCTGCTGCCCACAACACAATATGGAATTTGGTGGAAACTTGTCTCTGACCAAATTGTAGACTGCACTGTTATTATTTGCAGGTGAGAAGAGGACTCCACTCAGAGCTAGTGCCGGGCATACTTAAACCTGCACACTTTTAGCCCTACGTAGGACCCAACCAGTTGGGAGTCTGGCACTTCCTCTGCAGCCTAGAGCCTTGCCAAGGTCCGTCTCTGACCCCGCCATGACCAGTGGCAAACAGCGATAGCCCTGGAGGGGGCCGAGGCCCTTCCGCAGGGTAAATAGGTAATAACCTCTCCAAGCCCCCGTTTGGTTCATGAGGAAATCATTTAGAACATTTGGAAAAAAAATCTGTGTGAGGAATGGAAACCACATATACCACGGACACACAAGAATACAACCTGACAGTGCTTATTAAACAGTCTGACTGTATCGATCGTAAACAGCTCAGTTTAAGGTCTTGTTGTTCTAATACCAGTTCAGTCAAACGGAGAATTTCAAAACAGCACCACTGCCGCCACAAATCTTCATGAAAATGTATTCCTCTAAGGCTTCCTTCCCCTGCAACACGTCCCTGACCTTGTATTCGGTGTTTTAAGTGGGCCCTGTGAGTCCTGAGTTCTCCCCTCGTTCTACAAGGCATGCAGGATACAGCTGCCTTCCTGAGCCACTTTCCAGCCCCCTGAACATTGGGAGGGAAGTTTCCACCCGGCTCACTTTGCCCTACGTGCAGGGAGATCAGTGAGTTAGGGTTAGGCCGTGTGAAGGCTGGGAAACCAGAAGACGACACCTTCTCCATCCATCTGACATTCATTAGATGCATGGTAACTGCTGGTCTCATTCAACACAACCCAATTCCATTCGCTTCTAGCAAAGTTTTACCGCTCATTTGGAAAATTTACAAAGCTTGAAACTTCAAATGCCTCACGATGGAGTAAAAATAGGACAAGCATCACCAGTCACTCTTAAGACAATTAGGCCACGACGGGGCTAACACGTCAGGCGGCTGCCCGGACTACAAGCAGTGGAAGCATAATTACCTGTTTCTCCCCACAGTGTGTCGGTGCCATTGACTTCTATTTCATGTTCCTTTTCCATTCCCAGCAAGCACTGGACCACCTGTCAGAAGTGGCAAGGTGATTTAATGAGTTCTCGTAGCAATGGGTGCTTATTATATCCCACGTATCAAAGGAGAGAGAGTGTTGTTTTTTAACCATTGTTATCTCATGCTGCACAAGGAGAGAAAATATAATGAAAATCATTTTCGAGCATAATTCATATGCTATTCACACTTCCACTTGGAGAAGAATCTGAAAAAAATCTCAGTGAGTTTCAGCAACGTCGTTCGGGATTACTAGGTACTCAGAATTCTAATGAATTCCAACATGACCCAAATACGCCAGCCTAATCAACAAAGGACATGGCAGATCATACAAAGTGCGGTTTCTGCAGAAATCAGAAGATGGTAAACCCATTTTTATTTACTAAAAAGGAAAACACTTTGATATATGGCTTTTTCAATTAAAAATTGCTTTCTAAGTATTGTCCAAATAATTTTTCTACTGGCAGCTTTATTCTTTTCTCTCCTGGGACTCTTCCTGTTGAAGAGCAGGCTGGGTCACACACAGAGGCAGGGGTGCTGGTCTCAGGGAGACAGACGCATCCGTGCTGGACCTGAGCAACAGCAGTGACAGGGGAGAAAGACAAAGCCATTATCCTGTCTCCCAGCCCATACGCTTCATGCTAGGCTGAATAATGGCTCCCAAGTACAACCACATCCTCCCCCTAGAACGCGTGCTTGTTAAATGGCACGGGGGCACTGCAGATCTGAGTAGGAATTTTGAAACAAGGCAATTATCCCAAATCGCCAAGGAGTATGTCTGATATACACCTGACACAAGCATGGCAGTATTCGTCAGAGGCAAGAGGGGAAGGGGAGACGGGAGCTGAAGGTAAAATGAGGCTCTCAGAAGAGGGAGGAAAGGGCTGTGTCTTCGAGCAGACAGAAAGTGCCAGGAGACAGATTTTCCCCCAGAGGCATCAGAAGGAGCATGGCCACCTGCCACCCTAGGGTCAGACTCTGCCCCCAGAGCTGTACGAGGAAATGGGCACTGTTTTCAACACCCCATCTGTGGCCACCAGTTGGGACGGCATTAGGAAACCAACAGACCCTTCACGGCCGTGGAACAGACCCTGCTGTCTTCAATGAGATGGTCACCGGCTGCGCTCAGGTGTGTTCGCTCAGCGCTCCTGCCGGCCAGCTCTGAACAGAGAGGGAGTGTGAGCCAAGCCCAGGGCCACATCCACACGTGGCCCACACGTGCCTCCCAAGGGTGATTTTTCACAGCTCAGACCCGCTCCGACTTGGGCAGCAGGGTAAAAAGGAAAAACATCTACATGTTTGGACGTGTGTACGTAACACACTCTCTGTGTGTATCTGCAGGCATGTTTTATTTTTAATGCCAAAAGTTAGCCAGCCCGCAGGACATGATAACTTATGTGTGTGTCTGTCCATGGGTTTTAAATGCCAAAAGAGAGCTATCCAGCTCTGCATTTAAATTTACTTTTAGCCATTTTAGGGAAAGAATCTTACCAAACACTCGTACCTCTAATTGTTTACTATAATAGGGAGTGAGAAGTACAAGGGAGAGAGAGAGAAAAAAATGTTATTAAATTCATGGATAAAGCTCAGACACACAGGTTAGGAGATGACAAATAAATCTTTGAACTGAGGAATGCCAACACCTCTCAGAAATAAATGCCCTGGGTAAGGACTGCATGGAGGCCCCCCCCCCCCCCCCCGCCAACTGCGTGCAGGAGGCCAATGGCCAGCATTCTTACATACTATCCAAACATTCAAGTCCTATTTTTAAAAATTCTTCAAATACTCAGGGATAATTTTAGAATGAGGATTCCATGCAATTATTTTTAAAAGATCCCAAGGATGAACAAATGAATCAACGCGGGGGAGGGGCGGCAGCATAACTCTCGAGGCTGCAAGGTAAAAGACCAGGGAGGGAGAAATGGCAGAGGGAGGCGAGAGAACACTGCTGCCAGGCTGTGCTGCAGGAGTGCCAGGCCTGCACGGGAAAGACACCTGCCAGGCCCCAGCACACATGGGGCAGTGACAGGGCTCTCTCTTGTTTCCACTCGCAGGCATGATGCAAGGCCAAAGCCAGCAGCTCGTTCTTGAAATCCTGTTTTCCTTCATTCTGCCAGTGGTCACAGGCTCACCACTTCGGAGGCAGCGACTGCCACAGCAATACAGCCGGCTACAGCGTCTCATTTCCCCCAGCGGAGCCCCACGTCCCCACTCACCGAGCTGTGGCCCATGCTGGCGGCTGCAGTCAGCGCCTGCTGCAGGGCTTGGCTCTTCCTCAGTGCCCCCGGCTGCGACGGCCCCGCCGACCACTCACAGGTCAGCAGGAAGCGGAGAACGTCACTGTGGCCCCGCAGGGCGCTGTGGACCAGCGCACACTGGCCTTTCTTATCCAAGTGGTCCACCTGGGGACAGCAGCAGGGGAAGAACACAAGTGAGCGTCGCTTCTCCTCTGAGAACAGGAGGGCACCACACATCCAGTGTGCAAACCCCAGCCCTAGTCTGACTTCCTTCATGGTAAGGATGTAGTGCTCAGGGCTTGGGTTCCCTGTGTGGAACCAAGGATCAAGGAACACCTGCCTCACTCCCATGCTGCCCCAGCAACCTGTACCCATGCCCGAGGACAGAGACCAAAACCTTAGCCACAGTCTTGTTTCCAGCTCTGGGTGTCCTGGCGGAGCACCCCAGACTGCTGTGACAAGCTGCAGAGTTGGGGATGACGGCAGTTCTCTGTCACTGACCCAGGGAAGTAGGGAGAGCGAGGGATCTGGAAACAGCTCTGACCCAGGAAGAGAGGGAGTGAAAGTGCACCTGCCTGGGGCAGGAAGCTGTCTGCAGGCAGGAGACCTGGACACGCTGGCAGGAGTCAGGGGAGCTGAGCTAGCCAGAAAGGGGGTGTGCATGTGCACTGCACACTTCCTACTGGCCCATCACTCCCTGTCTAACCCCAGGAGTACTGGTGCTAAAGAGGAGCTCAGGGCCCAACCTCGTCATGCTCACAAATCCTGGAGAGTTATGCACCCTCACTTGGAGGCTTGGCAAGAGCCACCAACAGGACAGTCAGTCTCCCCCAAGTGCTTTCAGCTGTGATGGGAAGTGTCTGCTGCCCTCAGATCAAAGCTAAGGGACAGGTGGGCCTGGGAATGGAGGCGAGGTGACCTGCAGCAGCAATGCCATGTTTAGCTGCAACTTTTCCCTTCTTCTAGGAGCTCCAGTTCAACTGTCTCAAGTGCTGGACTTTGGAAAGGGAAAAAAAACAGAAATCAAAAGGTCCAGATAGCTACTATAAGCCTAATTTTTTTGTTGTTGTTGAGCTTTAAATACCTCAATTCATTAACAAAAGATAATCACTAACAGTTTACCTCAATTGTTATTCAGAAGGCACATTTCCCAATGAAATGCTAATAGTAAACCTAATGAGAGCTTACTGTGAGTTCAACGTCCTTCCTGTTTAATCTATTAAGACTAACAGTTCCAGAGTAACTTGTCTGATAATATACAGTCATTTCATATTACCGTTAACACACTGGCTTAAGGCTCACACAAAGCCCTGTGGTAGACACTGCTTGCTCTTTTGGCAGACAAGAATTCTGAGACGGAGAGGCTCAGTAATGCCCAGCACACTTGCTGGCAGGAGCGGAGAGGGCGATTCTGAGCAGTGTAGCTCCTGTAGCTCAAGCACATGGCTTCCTAGACCCGTACCTTAACCTCATTGTTTTTTAAAGGGACATGAAAAGAAAGGGGTAAGAAGAGGAGAGAGAAAACCTCCACACTTAAGTGGAAGCTGTTCAACCAGTCATGGTGCCACGTTCACTGCCGCAGTGAGCTCTAGGTCAACACTGGCAAGCTTTTTAATGGCCAGTCCTGTTCACAGGGCAGGTGGCCGGGAGTCTCCCCACCACTTGGCCTTTCCTTTCTGTGTTTCCTATAGTTTCTCCACTCACTGTGATTCAACAACACAGAGACAAAAGGGAGAGAAGACTGGCCCAGAAGGTAAAAACCCTAGCAAGGCAACGAGGCCATCTCCACACCTGCATGCCCACGCCCCAGGCACAGGCTGCTGCTTACCCTCGCCCCCTTCTTGGTCAGCAGACACACCAGCTTCATGTGGCCAGCAGCTGCAGCGTAGCACAGGGCGGTCATGCCGTTCTCCGACATCCCGTCCAGGCAGGCGCCGAACTCCAGGAGCAGAGTGACGACCTCCTCGTGGCCGAGGTGAGACTGGACGCACAGGATGGGGGCGTTGTTTAACACTTCTGTCCTGTAGTTCACGTTGGCCCCTCCCAAGATCAGGAGACGGCTCACCTGTCAGACAGTGTCCCGGAACAAGATTAGTTTTTCACGGAACTGTCAGTCTCACCAGCATCACTGGAGAAGGGCGGCACCCTTGGGTGTCTGCATCATCATTTCTATGCAGCGGTTCTCAGGTGCACCGAGTGTGTGCCCTGTCAAATGGGAACATGGCCATCATGCACGTTCTCATCAGTGGAGATCTGAGGCAATGCAGCTGCAGGGGAACCAGCACAGGGGGTCATGAAAACTAGCAACAGCACTGCTGTGTGAGACAGTAATCCTACATCTGGGTACATGGCCAGAGGAGTTGAAAACAGGACCTCGAAGACATGCCTGCACACTCACATTCACTACAGCCATATTCACAACAGCTCAGACAGGGAAGCAAGCTGACGTCCACAGAGGGAGGAACAGATACAGACTATGTGGCAGACACACTCAGTACTCCCGAGCCGTACAAAGTCTGACACGTGCTATGGCACGGATACATTTGGAAGATGGTGTGCCAAGTGACATAAGCCACACACACAAGGGCAGACACTGTATGCTACCACTTCTGAAGTCCCTAGAAGGGTCAAATTCACAGGGACAGAAAGGACACGGAGTAGGGGGGTTTCCAGGACCTACACAGATAGGAAAATGATAGTCGTTATGTATATAGTTCCAGTTTTGCAAGATGAGGAACTGTGAAGATTTCCTGCACAAGTATGAAAATATACAACATGTCTGAACTGTACTCCTAAAAACGGTTAACATGGCCCAGTCCCCGTGATGTGTTTCCCCCCCTATTAAAAATAAGAAGTTACAAAGCACACATGATCATCCCTTCCTGGATTTCTGTCTCTGGGGGACATGCTTCTAATGGGTTCCCAGGTGACGCTGATGCTCTTGGTTTGCGTGAACCACGCTTTGAAAAGTTGCTGATTAGCTTAAATAAAGCTAAAAAATCGTTTCTTCTGGCAAAGAAATAATTACAGGATTAAATAATTAACAGTGAGATAAGGCTACAAGTAAGCACAAATACTTTCTTTACTCTTCAAGGATTTATTCCTAAAGGAATAAGCAGAACAAATGGAAATGTGCACATGCCCTGGGCTGCCAGCAGCTCAACACTGCCACCACCCCCGGACTCCTGCACCCAGCCACGGGGGAAAGGCATCTAGCTATGGATTTTAAAGTACAACCACTGTGTCTCCTTCGAATCTTCGGGTCCCCGGGAAAAGCGAGCCTCCATAAACACTACTGACATGCCCTGTGCATTTTCTCAGCAACTCCCTCCGTGGTCCTGCTCTGCATCAACTGCTCCCCACCAAACCAGGCATGTCCTCTGGGTGGCCTGGAGGTGTGACACCACAGAGACTGTGTCATCTATCAGACACACGGATAAAAAGACACACAGATGACAAAGCATATGACATGCAGGATACACTTCAGTGATAAAAAGCTTGTGGAGTGAAACTGAAAGACAAGTTTATCTTGGTGCAAAATGCTTTTAGATCTATGCATACATGAGACTTCCAGAAAAGTTCACAGAAAATGCATATTATGAAAAAATGCACGTAGGAAAAAAAAATTCTACACTGAGATAAACTTATCTTTTACTTCCATTTTCCATGAGTTTTTTGAAGCACCTTTGTGTGTGTCCCCAAGAGGAACTGGTAGAATATTTACAAGCTGATAGGTGCGCAATGGGAACACTACCAGGAGGTGAAACCATGGCTTGCAACGGTAAGTTAGACAGGTTGGAACCCGGACGTGAAGTCAGAAGATGTCTCAGTGGCTGCAGAAGCTTGAGCCCCTCATGACCCAGGCTCATTTCCTCTCTGACCTTTTCCCTGGCTTCTCCCACGGCAGCCACACCGGCTCCCACGCTTGTCCTGTGACAGTGCCAAGCCAGCCTCAACCTTGCTGCTCTGCCCTGACAGTGCCTGCAGACAGAGCCCAGGGCATCCATTCTTTTAGGTGTTTGCTCCAACACCTGGACCCCAGAGAGAAGCCCCCTCCTCTATAGCAAATCCCTACTCCTACCCCTGTGCACATGGCTCCTCCCCCACCACGTGCATAAAGTCCAGGCCTCTCCAGCCCTCAGCACCTCACGCAGGGCACCTCACGCTGGTTCCACAATGCACAAGTCTGCAGAGGAGAAAAACAGGCAAACAAAGCCCCTCTGTGGACAGGGATGGCCCATGAGTCAGGTCCTTAAAATGTAAGGAGGACAAGCCATGCGTGAGTGATGAGTCGGCCCTGTCTGGCCAGCCAGCCAACCACCTGGCTGCCTGCCCAGCAGTTTACCCCATCACAGGGCCCACTGTGAAGCCTGACCCAGGTCTGCACCCACCCAGCCTCCTGCTATCAGCCAGCACTTGTCAGTGAATGGCAGAAACACACCGAGGGACAAGCAAGCAGAGAGGCGTTCCTGGCCCAGTGCTGACATTTCACCAGGGACCTTCGGCCAACCGCCCAATTCACCCCTGCAGAACCTACTGTGTAAATCATCACAGGTTCGTTCTTAAAAACTAAGTGCTAAATAAAAGCCATTGTTATCAGTATGGAAACAAATGGACTATGCTGAAGAAACACTTGGGGGCTGTATCAAGGCCTAGGAGAACAGTTCTGACCAACGAGCAATGTAGAAGAAATTCTTGGATGCGTACAGAAACGCTCACACTCCCACGGGGCCACTCCAGACGCTGGTCACCACAGGATAGGCAGGCAGAGTCTGCGCATTCCATGCATGACTTTGCCGGCCCCACCCACTGTGTCATTTTCAGAAAATTACTCCACCTCTCAGAGCTTTGGATCAGGCGTAGCAGGCCACCCCACTGTACCCAGCAGGTCCTCTCTGGGGTATGCTTCCAGCAATCTGGGGAACCCCTTACAGGACCTGACTTGGACAGTGCGTGCTTTTGGACAGAGCTTTCTGAAAGATGAGTCATCAAGTCTCACTGCTTCTGGAGACATTTCCTTTGCCAGTTGCAATGCTGCGGTACTTTCAGCACTTACGCCGACGTCAGTCTGTGGCTCTTTCCTCCACTCACAGTTCTCAACCCAGCTGCACACTGAAACCACCTGGGAGCTTAGAACTTTCCAACGCCTGGGCCCCACCCTTGGAGATTCTGACTTAACTGGGGCTGCAGCGCTGGCACCCAGAGCTCCCTAGTGATTCTAGTTGGAAGTCAGGGTTGTAAACACAGCAGGTGACAAATGCACCTGCAGCCATGGCTTGGACTTTCTGAACACCAGGTACCCTTCTAACTGCATGATTTGGGGAAAGCTACCCACTAACCTTAACCTCAGTTTCCTCCTCTGAAATAGCTGGATTAAAGAGTTTCACTCCACCGGGTGGTTGTGAAATTGAAACATGAGTATGCAAAAAAGATGTGTATATTTATATGCATGTATCACTTCTTGGCCTTTTGGCTAAGATCAAGTGTATCTATATACATGTAAATAAAAGAACTTCAAAAGGTTTGTGCAAAATGGAGTTAAGAGATAAGGTTGTGGTGCAAAAAATTGTGAAACTCATGCTCATTTTTCATAATACACATTTTCTGCAAATACCCACGTATACATAAGCATATTCACAAAGCATTTAGCACAGCACTCAGCATTCTGTGCTAATTTAATATTAACTGCTATTTGTTCAATCCCCCTGTCATGGAGGCTTCAGAATGGACAAGCGCCCCGGTCTCTGACCCATAGGAGTTACAGGTGGGAGCTCCCTCCAGGCGCCTGCCTCTGTCCTCATCACCTGTGTGCCCACCCTGAGCTGCTCCACAGCTCAGAGCGGCAGGGGGTCTTGTGCAGAGGTGAGGGCGGACCTGAGTCACTCAGAACCAGCAAACCTCCAGGCAGGCAGCTCCTGACAGCAGGCACTGCCACAGTCCCCAGGAGCCCACGGCAGAGCCACAGGTTCCAGAGGAGAGGCAATGCAGCGACACAAACAACTCACTCAGGCACCAAACAGATGCCAAGTGTTTTCTCAAGAGCTTTAGCGTCTGTGACGCCTCCATCTTCATTCGCAGCGCTCACTTCCCAGCCCCGGAACGTGGGCTCAGGGCGGGTGACGCAGAGATGAGCTCTGAGCACAGAGCCCGCTGTGCCCCGAGCCGGGCAGTGGCACAGGATTCCTTCTGCACAGTTTTTCCTAACTGCATGGAAAGCTTGCCGTCACCACCACAGTCACTCTGCTCTGATAACAGAAGTGGCAACGTTACCTGTAAACGTACGAATTTAATAAAGACAAGAAGACAAGGAAGATGGCTAGTGAGGACAGGCAAAGCAATGGGACCACAAGGAACGCAAGAGGCGCTGCCCAGTGGCTCATGAGGCTTCCTCACTATGTATACTGGATGCCCGCATCAGTGCAGCCACTTCACAAAGTGATGCAGAATATGACCAGACCCCCGACCCTCACCAGCCAAGGGAAGTCAGGCCAGGCCTCAGACACGAAGCTCTGCTTGAATTTTTCCCTGGGGCTGGCAGCCAGTCCTGTGAGACGGTGGGAGCAAAGCCAGGCAGGTGCACAGAAGGCTGGAGTCAGTGGCAGCAAGGACCCTGGGGGCATCCGGGTGCAGGTGGGTGAGACCCTGGCCTGGCAGCGGGGGCCCACGTCCTTGACAGCCAGCAAACCATGAAGTTAAAACTCTCCGACCAGTAATCACTGCAGAGCAAGCCACTTTAATTTACCAAAGTGGCAAACTGCAATTATTGCTCAGAGTGACATTCATTCCTGTATGACAACATTTAATACTCTCTAAAAAAAGGTCCTTAATTGCAGGCACAATTTTAAATTACTGTAATTTATTCAAGATTCTGTGAAAACCTTTTCCTCCTTTGAAAGATGAAAGAAACAGAAGGGCAATGGGAAGCTTTAAGACTCTCTAGCCACGTAATGTTGGCTGTGGTATGTACATCGGTGACCACGGACCTTTAGAGAATAAAGCAGAAATGCACTCTTCAAAGTGCAACTAGGTCTAGTCCCGGTTGCTCCTCTTCTAGTCCAGCTCTCTGCTGTGGCCCAGGAGGGCAGTGGAGGATGGCCCAAGTGCTTGGGCCCTGCACCCGCATGGGAGACCAGCAAGAAGCACCTGGCTCCTGGCTTTGGATCGGTGTAGCACCAGCCGTAGTGGCCATTTGGGGTAACAGAAGGAAGACCTTCTCTCTGTCTTCCTCTCTCTCACTGTCTATAACTCTACCTGTCAAATAAAAAAAAAAAAAATAACTTCTAAGGGCCAGCACTGGGGCATAGTGGGTAAAGCTGCAGTCTACGATGGCCGATGCCAACATCCCATATAGGTGATGGTTCACATCCCAGCTGCTCCACTTCCAATCCAACTTCCTGCTAATGCGCCTGGGGAACACAGTGGAAGATGGTCCAAGTGTTTGGGCCCCTGTCAACCTTGTGGGATGAAGATCCTGGCTTCAGCCTGGCCTAGCTCTAGCCACTGCAGCCATCTGGGGAGTGAACCAGCAGATGGAAGGTATCTCTTTGTCTCTCCCTCTTGATCTGTAACTCTGCCTTTCAAATAAATAAATCAATCTTTAAAAAATTCTATGCCCATAAATTCATTAATGTAGTGAAAAGATATCACCATTTTTATTCTTTTTTGTCATCATTATATAATTTTATTAATTATGGGGAGGCTAAAAGATAAAAGTGCACTTTAAAAAGTTCATAGGAAGAGGAATTAAAGGGTAAATTTAAAATTTTTTTGGACTTTATTTATCTATGTGGAAGAATGACGGAGAGGAGGTTGGGGGTGGAGAGAGATCTTTCAACTGCTGGTTCACTCCCCAAATGGCAACAGGCAGGGCTAGGCCAGGCCAAAACCAGGAGCCAGGAACTCCATCTGGGTCTCTCACATGAGTGGCCAGGGCCCAAGTACATGGGCCACCGTCTCTGCCTTCCCAAGTGCATTAGCAGGCAGCTGGATGAGCAGCAAAGTAGGTGAGAGTTGAACTGGCACTCTAATAAGGGATACTGGTGTTGCAAGCAATGGCTTAATCCACCACATGCCATAACACTGGCCTCTTGGTGTAAAAAATTTTTGAAATCCACGTATGGTATTTTCATGATACACATTTTCCATCAACTTTTTGAAATACCCTGGCATCCTGTTAGCTGAAAGATTAAACAGTGTTATTATGAAAGTAATTTCAACTAATTTTTAAAGAATCTGAGTTGAAAAAAATCCTTAACAGAGCTTCTTCACTATGTGCATTCCAGTTCCTGTTTCTTTTAGCCAATTCTTCTCTTTTAGACTAACTCCACCTAGAAGGTATGAGCTCCTGCTGATGAAGGGTAGCAGCTTAGCACTCGTTTTCCAGAGCGTGTCCACACTGTAACACCTGCGGGGCCTGCTCAGTGGGGCACAAGCACCCTGGCCTCCACTCTGCAGCACAAGGGAAATCTGGCAAGGAGTAGCACAGAGAGGGCAGGGCGCCAGGTCACGGGCCCTGCATTTGTGCTGCACCTGGGGTGCCCAGCCACGGGAATCAATTGAGGCTAAAATCCAACACAGCTTCTATCCCCTGAGTGGAGTGCTGAGCCTGCTGGACGTGGTGCAACTTTTATTTCTGCAAAGACACCACCTGTGTCTACCTGGAGGTGGCAGCTGCTCTGCAGGCCATGCCAAGGCCCTGACTGGGTAGCAGGGGACTGGGCAAGCTGCCCCCGGGGTCCTCAGGCAGCTTCATGATGCCCTCACCTGCTCGAGGCTCAGGAAGAGGGAGAAGGAAGAAGCGCACACAGCAAAGTGCCCTGCAGATGCACCCCCTTCCCAGGTGCAAGCACTGAGGGTGTGGGGTGTGGACAGAGGGCCCCTGACGGTCCCCCAGGGAGCCTACTCCGGCACACACAGTCCTCTCCCAGGTGGTGTTGGTGAACACAGTGAGGAGCAGGGGACGGCAGCTGCCCAGCACCACTGAGCCAGCCAGTGCTTGGCTGACACTAGGCCAAGAGCTTGACGGGGGAGACAAGGCTCTCTGGGAATTGCTCCAGAGTTCCTGTGGACAGCCTTAGGCTAGAAGACCTGGGCCCCAACATTCTTTGTGGCCCATGAGTTTTTGATTCCCAGACGGCATCACGAGGAGAGAAGTAAAAGCTGAGCGGAATGCTGTGATGTGACAGCCACAGACCAAGGAGCCAGGAAGGTCTTGGCTCAGCAGCGGGGAACCTAACACCCTCTGGGTGGTTGGAAGTCTGTGTCCACAGAACCTTTGGTGGCCATGGTTTTTCTACATCCCACCTCTGGTGTCACTCAGCAGTGCTTCAGTTCCCCTGAGCCAGAACGAGGCAGTTGGCATCAGGAGCCCGGGCACTTCAAGAATCCCTTTCCCTGGTTGTCTCTGCACCCTTTCGTTTCCTTTGTGAAATGCCTCCCGATGGCCTCCATCCAGAACAGTCACCAGTGCTCCCACGGCAGCTCCCACCGTGGTCACCGGTGCTCCTATGGCAGCCTTTCCATCAGAGAAAAAGCTCAGCTTCCAGAAGATAGTGTGCAGTAGCAGACTCCTCCTCCTCCCGCCAGGCCCAGGCACAGGGGAGGCGGGCCTGCAGGAGGGACCGCGGGCTGGGGCGCGAGCCTGCTCCCCCGCACAGCCTCGCTCACCTTCACGTTGGGAGTATAGAGATTCCTGAGAGACGCGAGGGCAGCAGACAGCCCTTCGGTGCTGTAACTGATCCACAGGGCTTGGAGATGGCTCGATGAGATTCCCGTCTTCTTACTGAGGCCCTGGAAGCAATCAGAGACAGATCTGCCGACGTCTCTTTCCCATCTGCAACATCAGTGGCAAACCGGAGGGGGCAGGTGTGCGAATGGCCAGCAACTGGCACAGAGGAAGCCTGGGGCTGTGAGCCTTCCCTGCCTAAAACCCGGGGCCAAGCCATTGGCATGCCCCGGCCACCCAACGTATGTGCCGCGGAGGGAGGTGGAGGCCAAGGAGAAGGCTTCTTTGTACGGAAGTAACGTGGGGAAGGAATCAAGGGTAAGGTTAGAGGAGGACCGTTATCTGGAATTCCTAATGGACGGACGGGCCTGGTGTGGCCAGTAATGGCTGATGGCATCACAAACTGTGTGCCTTCTGGATTCGTATCACTGTAAGGGGATCCTCACACCTGCACGGGGACAAGGAGAACCAAACCCATACACGACTCTCTAGGAACAACTACCAAATGACAGGGAGCCTGGCGGGGCGAGAGGCACGTGTTCCAGGATGCCATGTGAAACGAGCACCCCGGCGGTGTAAAACCACACAGCACAGGAACTCGGGGTCCCGCACGCAGAACACTAAGGCAACCAAAGGCAATGAAGTGGAGCCTTCAGACGCAAACAAGCAAGAGGGGGCAACAGGACAACTTAACCACAGCACGTAGGTCCCAGCTTGAGTGATAAACTACCAAGAGGTGCGAGGCAAGGGACCGTGAGTGAGAACGGGGGGCACTTTCAGGGAGGGGCACTCGGAGGGCTCCTGAGAGAGCTGGCGAAGCTGCACCGAATCTCTAAAACCACGACCTCAAAGCAAGAGCAACAAAGAAACCAGAAGCACTGGCGGCGCCTCTCACCTTGAAGATGTGCGCCTTCAGGACGTGGTGGCCGAGCTCCATGGTCTGCTGGCGGTTCAGCTTGCCCTCCTGCCGCGAGAACATGAACGCCAGGAGCGCATGTCCATTCCTAGGGCGAGAAGCACAGTGTCTGGTGGCCGGGGGTCCATGCCGCTACTCCCCAGGCGTTTGGGTGTGGGCATGGCCAGGTGGCTTCCGCACTGCCACCTGGAGCATGCGAGCTGCCGCCTGAAGAGGACAGCGAGGCCGCTGCGACCACAATCATTTCAGGGCTTGTGCTAGAGTGCCCCGTGGCTGTGCGCAGGCTCTTACGGATGCCTGGGGGCCGGCCAGGGCTTCCTCTGTGGAAGCACTGCTCCCTGCTGCCACCTTTCAAACTCTCGGCACCTAATTTACTGATTTCTGCCTGTCACAAAAGCATAGACGCCATAAGACAAAGGGTCTTGCTGAAGTCGCAGCAATAGCCACTCACAAAATGTCCAACTCTTAGCAATTACTCAAGTATGTGCTCCATAAGAAACTACATCGTTTAAAGCATCAACCTTTTCCTGGAATTCTAACTTAAAAAAATCATCAAACAGAGGAGGGAAGAAAGGAAAGAAGAGAGGGAGAGAGGTGCCAGATTCTCTTAAGAGCCACCATCAGTGTGGGAGAAGAAACTCCTGCTCTCTACAGATAAGGAAATAAGGCTTGGAGAATTAACTGCACAAGAAACACACAAGAACTGGTGGAGTCAGGATTTGAACCTCACTCTGTAAGGCACCAAGATATTCAGCATAGGATTTTATGTTCATAAGTAAACTAGAAAGGACTAGAAGGTCCTAGAAAGAACAAGGGCGTGGTGAAGTCTATTGTGATTTGCCTGCTGGGAGGCTTGCACAGTCACGAAAAATAGAAATGACACTTTTTTTAAAGATTCCCTAGCAGCTTACTAGCGTGCCAGCAATGTGTTAAGCAAAACAATAAGATAAGGACCCTAAGAGAAAAAGTTTGTATAGTGTTTAAAACATTATGGATGGCCAGCGCCGTGGCTCACTAGGCTAATCCTCCGCTTTGCGGTGCCAGCACACCGGGTTCTAGTCCCGGTTGGGGTGCCGGATTCTGTCCCGGTTGCCCCTCTTCCAGGCCAGCTCTCTGCTGTGGCCCGGGAGGGCAGTGGAGGATGGCCCAAGTGCTTGGGCCCTGCACGCCATGGGAGACCAGGATAAGTACCTGGCTCCTGCCATCGCATCAGCGTGGTGCGCCGGCCGCAGCGCGCCGGCCGCAGCGCGCCGGCCGCGGCAGCCATTGGAGGGTGAACCAATGGCAAAGGAAGACCTTTCTCTCTGACTCTCTCTCACTGTCCACTGTGCCTGTCAAAAAAACAAAACAAAACAAAACAAACCGCTATGGAAAGAAGCAGGACTTTAAAAAAAAGAAAAATGTTATTGTTTCTGGGTATGGGGCTTTGCTCCCATTTTTCCCTCTATAATTGGAGCAAAAATATAAGTATTTGGTTGAGGGGTGAGTTGCTTAACCTCTTACAAGGTCACCATGTCTGGGAAATGATTTCCAGAAATCGCCTCCCTCCATGAGTCCCTAGTGCAGCATGGCTTCCCCTGCCCCCCGTCTCCCCCCACCATGGGAAGCCCTGTGGAGAGGGACCCTGCCCAACAATCTCTGTATCTACCACAGTGCTGTGCACACAGCAGGGTCTCAGAAGCTGCCTCCAACCTCGTGTTCTGGGTGAAGCTCAAGAACGACAGGAGTCTTGGGAAGCAGCCACGTGCCCAACTCAAGAAAGGCTTCGGCTGGCGCCGTGGCTCACTCGGCTAATCCTCTACCTGCGGCGCTGGCACCCCAGGTTCTAGTTCCAGTCGGGGCGCTGGATTCTGTCCCGGTAGCCCCTCTTCCAGGCCAGCTCTCTGCTGTGGCCCGGGAGTGCAGTGGAGGATGGCCCAAGTGCTTGGGCCCTGCACCCCATAGGAGACCAGGAGAAGCACCTGGCTCCTGGCTTCGGATCAGCGCGATGCGCTGGCCGCGGCGGCCATTGGAGGGTGAACCAACAGCAAAGGAAGACCTTTCTCTCTGTCTCTCTCTCTCACTGTCCACTCTGCCTGTCAACCAAAAAAAAAAAAAAGACTTCGGGGTGGGGCTGCTGCTGGGATTTGAGGCAGGAGGATTGGACTGTAGTGATCATTCAGCTTTGCTCCATCCTGGGAAGTTGGGGCCCCTAAGGTTTTCCAGTCTGCAGTGGGTCGGCCTGGGGACATCGCTCTGTGGCAGGGTCCAGCCTAAGTGTAAGCAGGAGAGACAGGTATAGAACTGAGCGAAGCCTTTTTTTTTTTTTTTTTTTTGAACAGGCACAGTTAGACAGTGAGAGAAAGAGAGACAGAAAGTCTTCCCTCTGTTGGTTCACTCCCCAAATGGCCACCACGGCTGGCGCTGCGCCGATCCAAAGCCAGGAGCCAGGTGCAACCGGGACAGAATCCGTCCAAAGCCAGGAGGCAGGTGCAACCGGGACAGAATCTGTCCAAAGCCAGGAGGCAGGTGCAACCGGGACAGAATCCAACGCCCGACCGGGACTAGAACCCGGTGTGCTGGCGCCACAAGGCGGAGGATTAGCCTAGTGAGCCGCGGCGCCAGCTATCCATGTTCTTATAAACTCAACTATACTCACCTCTCTGGAAAATGATCTGCCCTCCGGGAGATAATCTGACTTGGCTAGAAAAATCTGGGTAAGCCAGCCTGGCTAAATATTGCCCCAAGGGAGGCTCCAAAGCTTACAGGCACAGCAGGAAGCAGCAGCTAGACCTATGAGGTCAGCATCAAGTCAACACCCTAGGGAAGGAAGGTGCTACACTACTCACCAGGGCTCCATTTCTGGAACCAGCCATCTGGTCCAGCGCCCACTGGAGTTCCCTGTCACTGAAACAGTGGGCAATCCCAACACAGAGAGAAGCTGTTCAAGACAGCACAGGCCAGGCCCAAGGGCAAGGCTTGGCAAGCTGAAAGCACCAATATCCTCAGATCCCCTGACCTCCCACCCTCACTGGTCCCAGGCCATGAGACAGACGACAGATGGCCGGCCTTCCCCCCATGGCACCAGCAACGCCGGCAATGCGGAAAGCTGCGGCTTGCCTGGACCAGTTTGTCCCACTACACCAGCAAAACCAGGTGGTCAGGTTGGATCACGACCACAGTGCCCCACTCCGTACCTGCAGACACAATCTGGCCCCCGGGCCGAGCCACCACGCATTTAAGAGGTGATGGTGTTTTTTTTGGGGGGGTGTGGGAGAGACCTTTATTTTATGAAATGAAGTAATTGCGTGACTGTAGAATCAAAAATAAAGCCAATGAAGATCATGGAACTAAATTATTGCAATTCAGTTGTTTGACAGATCTGGTGGCCACGACAGGAATTGCAGAAGATGGCCGACGATGCCCAAGACCCCCCGAGGAAGGCAGGAGAGGTGCTGCTGACCTCGCTGAGGCACCTGTCTCACTCACGGGGCCCTATGGGTTCTGAGTGAGACCTTCTCGTGCATTGAGTCCCTGGATCGTTTCGGCTTTGGGAGTCCCAGGGGTAGCCTACCCTGTGGAAGACTGCCTGACTATGGGGCTGCAGTGGCTGACGATTCCCGAATTAGAAAGAAAGTCAATTAAGATGGTTTAATACCAACAACAGCACAGGGGGCTGGGGGGCAGTGGTACTGAGGCTCCCACACAGTCCCCAGACACATATGCAGGTGGGCACACTGCCAGAGAAGCCCGCTTTCCCAGGAGTGGAGCTTACACCTTCCACGGGAACCCTGCCGACGTGGTGGCCAGGGCGCAGATGGGGATCCAGGAGAGGACGGACACTAAAGAACACTTAGGAACTGCCTGGTTTCTCTTCCATCCCGGCGCATGGGGGAGCCCCAAAATCCTAGCAACAAAGGACGCTTTTGGATAGAAGCAGCAAGAATTTTCCATGGCAGTCGCCTCTGCCAAAAGCAGGGAAGTGAGAGGAGGGGAAGAAACGAGGACACAAAGTAGCCGAGACTAAGGCATTCAGTCTGGGCTGCCTTTCCCTTAAAAGTCACAGGCCACAACTGAAATCCTCCTTCCAGCCACAGGGCAGGCGGCAGGGACTGTCGTACCTGGGCTCGCACAGGAAGGCCGTGTTCTCGCCGTCTGCCCTCCACACGAGCCATTCCCTGAAGGAGGGGTGGCAGAACATGCGGGTTTTGTCTCTCCTCTTGACGAGGAAACAGGAGAGGGCATCCATCCGCTGCTGAAAGTCTTCCCACCCCTGCTCCCCATGGACGTGGCCGGCGTTAATGGCCTGGAATATCTGCTCGTCCGTCATGGGGTGCAGGGACGCTAGGGCCACGTTCAGAATGGGGAGCACTCGCTCAAAGGCCGACTGGGTCCTGAACTTCATGTTGCACTGCAGCAGGTAGAGCTCGGACAGAGACACCGGCACCACCTTGTAGCTGGCGCTTTTGATGACCAGGTGGCCCCTCTGGAAGAGGTCCAGGGTGAGCTTGAGGTACAGGTAGGAGCCGAGGCTGCGCAGGACCAGGTGGCTGCTCACTTTCCCGATGAGGGCGGCGTCCGCCTTGCCGTTCAGGGAGATGTTGCTGAGGATGTCCTGGCTGCTCTGCACCCGGTGCTGGACGTAGGCGTGCAGGTCGCTGTGGATGTGCTGGTTGTCTGGAAAGTCGTCCAAGGAGAGCTTGACGAAGGGCAGTGCACTTACGATTTCCTGCAGGGGGACAAAAGCCCAAAACCCCACAGTATCACTCAACAGACTGTTTTCAATTTCAGTAGTATTGCAAACCACATTCGCTAGTTTTCTTTCAAGGAGGATTTTCATGGATTAGAGTGACTCATTGTTCTGTATTAAAACTTGTAATAGGATCAGGTGAAGATAAAAAGCTTATGTGAAAGAAATCCTGATGCGAGATGGAATCAGTAAAGGCTTTCCCAAGGCCCTGATCCAAGGACTTGGAGCCCCGAGCTGACGCTGGTAACCAAGCCAGCAGCAGCACTCGGGCAGCGAGAACGTGCAGTGTCCCAGTGCCCGTAATCCCTACGCCTTGCAAGTGGTTAAACACCGAGGAAGAACACAAGCCAGCAGCACACATCTGAGAGCACAGCCGGACAGAAGATTAAGAGGCATCCTCCCTGAGCTGGGAGAGGCTCTGCAACCCAGTTGGGAAGCCTGAGCCTGCTCCCAGGCTGTGTCCCAGCGACAGAGGGCAGTAGCAAAGCTGTCTCTTCAGTGTAGCACAGCAGTATCTGTGAAGCTGTTTTTGAGTAAACATTTAAAGTACAACATACAGTGGTACATGAATCACAGTTGCACAGCGTCAATTTTGACAAAGACAAAAATGTCTGTGTAGGACACCCCCAGAATCCCCAGGCCTTGACCCATCCCTCCTCCACTATAAAGGTTAGCAGAGAGGAGTTTCACCTCCCACTACCCTTTTGGGAGTATTTAAGTACACATCCTCATTAAATGCAGTAATAGTAGGCAGAGGGCGGAGTACAGCTATGCCCATTCCACACGAGTGCTAACTAAATCTCTGACTGTTCACACAGCCAGCAAATGAGGCATACAGGGTCTTCTCTTCCTGTACTCTGTTGATTGCCAAATTATTCTTGGTGAAAAATGACTGGAAGGGGCCAGTGTTGTGGCACACTAGGACTTCTGCTTGCAACACCAGCACCTCCTATAAGTACCAGTTCCAGTCCCGGCTGCTCTGCTTCTGATTCAGCTACCTTCTAATGTGCCTGGAAAGGCAGTAAAGGAAGGTCCAAATACTTGGGTCCCTGCCACCCGCATGGGAGACCTGGATGGAGTTTCAGGCTTCTGGCTTCAGCCTGGATCAGCTCTGGCCATCACAGCTATTTGAGGACTGAACCAGCAGATGGAAGCATGCATGCTCTCTTTGTCACTTTACTTTTCAAATGAATAAATCTTTTAAAACAATGACTGAAAAGCATATGAGTCAAATTTCCGTAAGAATAAATAACAAGTTAGGCTAAGTTCTAATTCTACTTTTAATGAGGAAAAAACAATAACCTGAATGCTGTTTTAAAATATCATCAAAAATCACAATCAAATGTTGAAATGGGGGGCCAGTGCTGTGGTATAGCTGGCTAAGCCGCTGCCTGCAACACTAGCATCCCACATGGATACCAGTTCGATTCCTAGATGCTCCACTTCCAATCCAGCTCCCCGCTAATGTGCCTGGGAAGGCAGCAGCAGATGTTCCAAGTGCTTGAGCCTCTACACCTACACAGGAAACCTGGAAGAAGCTCCTGGCTCCCGGCTTTCGTCTGGCCCGGCTCCGGCCATTGAGGCCATTTGGGCAGTGAACCAGTTGATCAAAGATCTTTCTCTCCCCCTCTCTGTAACTCTTTCAAATAAACAAATCAATCTTTAAAAACAAGGTCAAAATGTTTTTACTGAAAAAGGATAGGTCTGGAGAGACTGTTACTGATTAAGACATACACTGAGTTTCAATGAGGTAAGAGATGGAGGATGAAAAAAAATCACTCTTTTCCTCACTGCAAATGTTAGCTCACGTTTAAGTCTGATGAAAAAAAAAAAAAACAGCTCTCTCAGAACAGGCCTTATAACCTCTCTTCATCCCTCACTTTTCTCTCCAAAAACAGCTCAAAACCCTTCCACAAACCCATGCAGATACGCACAAGCAGAAATAGCATTCAACTTTGGTAGACCAGCTGGCCCCAAACACTGCCCAGTGAGAAGGCAGGGGGTATTCAGCACCAACCACATACCACCTGAGTTTCTGTGAACACACGGTAGGGACTGACAAGGACAGAGTTCCTCCCAGAGCCGGGCACTGTGAACTCACTGCTCAAAGTTGTCACTGTTTCCAAATTCAGCAGCCACATTGTTTACAACAGTTCGGGTCATGAGTATTTATCACACAGTAAAACTGGAGTACAGGGACTTGGAAAGAGATTTGAGAATTGTTTTGTACCTGAAAATTCGCACGCACAGTCACAATCAACTTCAGCCAGGCGGGAAATTTAGAAATTATTTTGGTGATAAATGAAGAAAGTGTATCTCCATAATCAGGTTTATGAAACTCCGCTTCGTTTAAGCCATCTATCAAGATAATGTACTCTTCTTCAGGAATTTTCTGCTCTGAAGGATAAAATAAAGTCAAATTAAGAAATCATACATTTCTATCAGATGGCACCACCCCGTGTATGTTAACGCATAAAGTGTTAGGAAAAACTAAAAAGGTTTACATATGGCAGAAGACATAGTTTTCACAGAAGCATATTTTCTATTAAATTTATCATGAAAACCAGAGCACAGAGCCAAAAGAAAACCAATTCTCACAAAGCAGTTTCCAGAAACATATTGTGTTACACACATTAGCAGAATCTCACTCATGTACATAACACAGTTAGCTCCTCATAAGGCAGCATCACCGTGTGTGGGCCACAGATGCAAATGGACACATACAGACACAGTCTGAAGAGACCCTCTGTCCCCTCTGAGAACCCTCCAGAGGATCCTGTGGAGTCCAAGGGCCGCCCGCCCTCCAGAGCTAACTGCCACACAGTGGCGAGGGTGAGGCCAGGCTCCCGGAGCGTAGCTCGTTCTCACCAGCCACCACCTAGCTTCCCACTGCTGAGGGTCAACTTTGGGTGCAGGGATGCAGAAGGAACGGTGGCATCCCTTCCCAGCCTTCTCCCTTGCACCGTCCGGCAGAGGTGCCATGAGACAGGTGAACGAGCCCCGAGGGTGGGGAGGAAGGACGGAAACCCGAAGGTTCCACCATGTCCCTAATATCCTCTACCCTGCAGAATAGTCAGGGGAAACCAAATCAGATGAAACCTCTAGAAAGCAATTCTAGATATCAACACAGGCGGGGAGGGTCCCTGGAAAAAAACAAACAGGCAGTAAGTTCCCCAAACAATCTGCTTATTTCCCTTTCACCTAGGAGTGCCAAACACAGCAGCAACATTCTGTTTTTGCCTGCAAGTCATCTAAACAGCCTCAAGTTTCACGAGAGATACCCCTCCCCTGAGGCCGTCCACTGGGGCTGGGGGCACGTGGGCCCCTCAGACATAGGTAGGATGTCCCTCACAAGCGAGCTGTCAGCTGTGGCTGGAAAGCCTGTCTCCAGACTCACCGGCATCTCTCCCACTGACAGCTTCTTGTGCTGCATGTGTGACCCTGTGGCTTTAAATCACACCTCCAGGGTGGTTGCAATCTTTCACTCAGAGCTAGCAGAGGAGGGGGCTGAGCCCCTAAGGGAGAGACAGACGTCTCCAGGAGCCCCAAGCCAATCAACATACAGTATGTGAAACCCCCATCCAATGGGCACCCCCACAGAATGACCCAATGGAAAAAAAAATAAAGCAATGCCTTAAAAACCCGGGACACTTCCTCAAAGCCAGTGTCCCACTTGGGCACTCTGCCTGGTCTCCTCTCGGACCACTTTCTCTGTAGCTTGCCAATCAAATAAAAGTTTCTTTTCTAATAAAAGTGTCTGCCTCTTTTCAAACTGTTTCCTGGCTTTTTATTTCTATACTAAGCTGAGGAAAAGAACCCATGAAACTCGCTCCCGTAACCGTCCTCCTCTCCAAGATGGGTAACATCTCCCAGACACACAAGATCCTTGCTGAGGAAGGCAATTGGGAAACATGGAAAGGCTCTCTGCCCTCCCGTTTTACCCAGGAGCAGAACACACAATTGCCAGTCTTCCTTCCCCACGGGGAAGCACAGCAGGTAATCACTGGACAGCGCCGAAGGCTCCCAACCATCAGCTTTCCCGGTTTTGCCCTCCCAGGGTTTCCTGCCTTCTAAAGTTTACTGCTGTTTGTTGAAGATTCAGGATCAGCAGGAGGTTCTAGCCACTGCTCTGAGCTGCCTTTCCCTGAGGCTTCCCCGCGTGATTCCTGGTAACAGCCTTGCTCCTCTCGTCAATCTGTCTACTGTGGGTACACTGCACAGCCTCAGATGCCCTGAACCCTCAAGGGCACGGAAAGAAGACCTCCTCTCGTTCCAGTTACAGGTGGCCGTCTCGTAGTTCTTAGCTGAGGCAGTTTACACTCTACCTTCAGGGCAAAAGGAGGGCCCACAAGGAGATGGTTCCCAGGAAGAGGATGGACGTGTGCCATTCATCCACACCTCTCTCCTGCCCCGAGCCCAGTGAACCACCGAGCACCCGAGCCACGACTGGGAGGGGCTGTGGGTGACCGGCCACAGGTACCGTTTCTCAGGGTGATCAGCGGCTCCAGCACTCCCCTCTTGAAAGCGGCCACGGGGTCCTGCACACAGGATCTGAGGCTCAGCATGCTCTGCAGCTGTGGCTCCTTGATCAGAAGGTCTCTGTAGGCAGCCAGCTGATGGGAGCGGCAGAGCAGAGCCGCCACGCTGTGCACGAACTCGGGGACTAGGCAGGTGTAGGTGTTGTCGGCCTGGCAGTAGTGGTAGGCCACCACCTAGAGGGGAAACAGAGCTGTCAGTGTCTCCTGCCTCTTCACAGCAGGATCTCACGAGAAAACACAACTCCACCCATCCACTGTGACACCGAAATCCACTGCCGCTTCTCCCTAGAACTGCGTCGTTAATTTGCTTCATGGCTTCGTTTATTCCCTTCCTTCTTTCACATGGTTTCTAAGTTCTCAGCACACCTTAAATTGCAGCCACAAATGCAGCTTGATTAGCAAAAAACAACACAACTGACAGTTCGGGAATATAATGATAGTCATTTTATAACCTGGCATAAAGCAATGCCCATGTTCTCAACACCACAAAATGCCACCTTCACTATATTAAAAAAAAAAAGATTTAATTATTTATTTGAAAGTCAGAGTTACAGAAAGAAAGGAGAGGCACAGAGATCCTCCATCCGCTGGTTTATTCCCCAGATGGCCACAATGGCCAGGGCTGAGCCAGGCTGAAGCCAGGAGCTAGGAGCTTCATCTGGGTCTCCCACATGGGTGGGAGGGGCCCAGGTATTTGGGCCATCTTCTGCTGCTTTCCCGGGCACATAAGCAGGGAGCTAGATCAGAAGCGCAGCAGCTGGGACTCGAATCGGCCCCCTTCACTACATTTCTGTCCTCAGGAACACTGGCACTCTTCAGGGAGCCCTCTGCTCATCCCAGGACACAGGTGAGGCTGCAGGCAGCCCAGGTGATAATTATCACCTGCTCAGGCCCTCAGCCCCTCCCCACACCTGCACTTCTTCAAGGAAGGCGAGAACATGATGGAGATGGTAAACGGGACGTCTGAGGAAGCAAATCAGCAGGGAGCACATGCCTGCCCATCCTGTTCAGGCAGGCACAGGGGGACAGCAGGGGCTGCCCAGCACCGAGGGGTGAGGAGTGGTCCTGGTCACAGCGGGTGAGTTGCTGGAGACCCCAAGGAAAGTGCTGGAAGCAGAGCTCCCTGGAGTGGAGGCACGCTGTGGATAAATGACAGCTTCACGACCGTCCCAAAGGAGGAATCCGAGTGTGTGGTAAGCAAGGGGAAAAGGCTAACCACAAGCAGAAAGGGCTCTTTGTTTTCTCCTGCTCAACGTTCAGCTCTCAGCTCGCACAGCTGCAGAGCCACTGGCCCTGGAGCACAGCTGAAGCTCCTTGCCAAAGCCGCAGGGACAGTCCTGGATTGGGGAGGGGATCCAGGTCTGCGGGCTCTTAGAAAGGAAGCTGCAACAGCAAAGGTGGAGCAGCTTTTTCCAGGCCCACCTGGATGGGCCAAGCCAGTACTGACTGAGACCAACTTCATCAGCACTCAGGAAAGCTGCTGGCTCTCCAGCTCTGACCTGGACAGAGATTAACAGGATCACACAGGAAACCCCAGGAGCTTGTGCAAACTGCCATGAGAATCCGAGACCCGGCCTCACACGCTGTGGACAAGGCAGCTGAACGGTGGGGCCACCAACAGGGTGTTTTCCTGTTTTTTTTTTTTTTTCCCCCTAACTGGCTCATAAAAACTGTACATACTTACAGGGCACCACGTGTTATCCTCATCCATTTACACATTTGTACAACGTTCAAGTCAGTGTAAACCTATCTGTCTTTCCTCTGTTTTAGATCCACTTTAAATCACCAACATGAACTGTTAGATACAAACATCAGCCTAGTCTTAGAGTAATTTTATAATGCTTTGCTGCTGTTACATGGGTAATTATGTGTTCCTGAGTACTGGGTCTCAACTGAAAGACATATTTCTTGGTGTGGGTCATAGTCAGAGGGCTTTGAAAAGTCCCTGGTGCAGAGGAGGCCCTGCAGCTTGCGACACACCCCATCAACTCAGCTCACCACGCACGCCCACGGCAGAGTCCGAATCAGCAGTCAGAGCACTGGGGCTGTTATCTGGGAAGCAGAAGAATGGGCGGGGATGCCAGGCTCAGTGGCACTGGTTTTGGTTCCCCTGCATCAGTCTCACACAGGGGGTGCCTCGCCAGGTGCCATTTACTGCTGCCCATCTCTAGAGCTCTCCACCAACTCACAGCACTGCCAAGGGAGACCCAAATGGCAAACCAGGGGTGAGAGATGCAGTTGCTCAAATGCAGGAGGGTGGATTATGAGCCAGGGATGGAGGATGTGGATCAGAAAGAAACTTCCTGAAGGACCTTGATGACCATGAATTTAGGAAGCAGGTGTCAGCTGAGCCTCTCTCACAACCTCACAAGAAGCCACTGCTGCAAAGAGGCAGGGAACCAAGGGCCTTGGGTGACAGAACACAGGCAGAAGTCTAGGTCACGCTGAAAGCTCCAATCTCCTGCTCACAAACAAACTAAGGAGAGCATGTGCATATAAATCAGGATGGGTGGGTGGTGGGCGCGCCTATTTCCTGCTGCTCTAATGGACAAAAGTTCACTGATGGTGTCTTAGGATATTTATTCTCATTCATACATTTGGAGTATTCTATCATACTTTTATCAACAGCTATATTTAGCATTAAGCAGTTGCTCTGTTTTTTAAGACCACCCTTTCAGTTCACTGCACAGAAACCAAACTAGCACGCTGCCCTACCGGATTACCTTAGAAGCAAGGTATTTCACTGCATCCTCTCTTGGTCTCTGGTTTTCGGGGGCCCCAGACCCAGCAGGTGCTTTAGCCGCGTTGGGACCACTTGTAGAAGAAGCCGGTGAAAGCAGCGGAGCGAAAGGAAGCTCCTGGGAGGGATCAGATGCTGCCAAGAGACACATTTCATTATTTCCATCCACACAGGGACACGGTGGACACAGCATACTTCTTGACTGTCTCAGAGAGTGTTATCACAGGTAACGAGTGAAGACGGCCCAAATGAGAACACAAGTCCCTGTCTCCCACCCACCCAGTCTCCTTCCTGTAGAACACTGTTTCTGGTTTCCTTTATTAAATTAATTTTGGTTAAAAAAAAAAAAAAACCTCACATGGCTCCCTTGTTGTTCACCACGTGTGGAGATGCTTTCTTTTAATAGGCCTGTAACACAGACAGGAAACAATGAACAGGCAAAAATCTGGCTGCTCTATCCACTACTAACTCGGTTTTTATAATTTTGCAAACCCAGAATAGAAGACAAAGCCTGTGGCACACAGGAAATGAAAGAATTTTCCATTTGATTCCCTTTGGCTTGTTCTGCAAGGAGCCCAACTCCTTGGGTTTTAGGACAAAAAACTCCACGGGCTTTTGGTCAGTCCTCACTGCCCACCTCTGTCCGTGTGAAGAGGGACATGGGGAGGCTCTAGGTCAGGAGGAGAGCAGTAAAGGCAGGCCTCACCAGGCCACAGCCAGACGCGCACTATGACAGACACGCGTGTTCAGAGAGCTCACTTAACACACCTACACCGCATCTGGAACAACCCGAGGAAGTTATGTAATTTATGTCTATGCAAACAGCCATTGCCTTTATCTAGCCTACGTCAACTAACAAACTGGACAAGTAATTAAACACGGCCGTACTCTTGGGTGACGAGCTGGGGCTGTGGGAGGCAATCTGCCTCATGCGGCTCCCGTGGCAGCTAAGTGCCACCAACTTGGAAATGATTGCTGTCTTCCCAAATCCCACGTTCCCAACGACAACCGCTCCTCTGTTTTCTGTCAGTTCCGTGTTCCTCAAGTTCTCTTCTATCTGGTGAAAGAGCCAGTCCCTTCCCACAAACACAGAGTCCGTCGTTATGCTTGGTACTTCAAACAGCAGGGGTTTCAACAAGATGTCTTGTGGCTTATATGGAACAAATCGTGCTATAAAAAAAAAATATTGTTTTAGAATGTCATAATGTCACACTCTAAGAAATTCAATATATCATTGCCTGTGTGTATGTGACACTTACTAGAGCCTTTAGTAGCCCCATAAGGAATCAGTATTTTCAATCTGGTGCAAACAATGCTTCTGTAATTCCTCATTTCACACACTCTGTTGGTCCTACAAAGTGTCCTGCTAAATGGCCTTCTAGTCCATTCCTGCTTCCGAGTTATCTTCATGACTTAAGTCAGACACACAGAGGACGTGGTGCAAGGGTCAAACCGTGTCTCGTTGGTGTATCTGAAACTGTCTTTAAGACATGTTTCTTGGGGCCAGGGTTTTAGCATAGAGAGCAAAGCCACTGCCTGCCATGCTGGCAACTCCTATGGGCACCAGTTTGATTCCAGGCTGATCCACTTCCAATCCAGCTCCTTGCTAATGCGCCTGGGAAATCAGCCGAGGATGGCCCAAGGACTTGGGCCCCTGCCACCCATGTGGGAGACTTGTCAGATGCCCCTGGCTGCTGGCTTCAGCTCTGCCCAACCCTGGATGTTGTGGTCATCTGGGGAACGAACCAGAGGATGGAAGACCTTTCTCTCTCTCTGTAACTCTTTCAAACAAATAAATGAATCTTAAAAAACAAAACAAACAATAAAAACCATATTCCATGTTTCTCTCACTACTGAAGTAGTGAATGGAAGCACTCTTCCTGCAGACAGGAGCAGAGCTCTCGTCTGGGAAGGGTGGTGCTTTGCCCATGCAGTGAGGCTGTGCCTGCTTCACTGGCAGACACATGGCATGGCTGATGCGATCCAAGGAACCAAAGCAAAGCTGACTCTGTTAGGAACACAAACTCTAATAAGTGTTCAACCACTCTTCACTGCAGAGTAACTTCCTACAGAGCTCCAGAAGCAAGCAGAGCACATATTTTAAGGAAGAAGCTCAAAACTGTTAGGGATGCTCTCTGAAACCACCCTATAGGTATTTTTTAAGCTCATGCATTTGTGCACACACTTCCCATCGTGCTCTAAGCATGGTTGGTCTGAACACTGGTTATCACGGACTTTCAGTGTGAAGTGAAGGAGTTCCTCAAGTCCATTATCACAGTGGATGCAAGGATAAATACCTGTAACTTCCTGTGCCCTACCTCCTGCCGTATTGTGCCATGGTAATCGAATTGATGTTCTTAGAGGGGCATTTCTCTGTCCATCTAAGTAGCTCAGATCTTCCAACTTCGTTGAGCTTGTTGCTGTAATAGTAAACAGAAGTTTAGTCTATTGCAAGTTGAGTTCAACATGGTACCTAAAATAGTTACAAATTGCAAAGCTGTTCAGGTCAGGCTTTGCACAAAATTTACTTAGAGGTGATTCTGCTTTTGTTTGCCTTGGTTTATTTTTCTAGCAACATCATGCATTGAAAAAACGTAAAAACAAAGTTTAAAATTTTTTTTAAATCAAAGTTACATTGGTATGTTTGTCAGAATTCTCCAACTCTCCTGAAAAAACAGTTTGCCATAATTTTTTTTTAATGTAAAAACTTGACAACAAAAAGCATCACACAGAAAGCTGCTTCATACTTACTGCAAACACATGGCACGATACTAGAGTCTCCTGCAGCCCTGGGGAGCTTTGTCAGTGTCTGGAACACCAACCTTACTAATTAAATGAGCAGATCTGTACATACAATTCCACAGCCCTCAGAACACTGCAAGGCAGCTCTTGATGGTACAAGTATCAACATACTCCTAAGCTTCAAATATATCTTGGTATATTTTAATGCAGAATACATTTATACTATATTATATATAATATATTGTGTATGTTTTTTCCAATTCTAAAAATAACCTCTGATCAAATTGTGAGATCATATAGCACACAGCACAAAGGCACTTGATAAAAAGCATTAAGGCTGGATTATAAAAATAACCAGTGCAGAATAATTTTGTTAATTCTCAGCAAATCACAGAAGTGAATACACAGTTCATCTTTGCAGTAAAAAAAAAAAAAATTCCTCCTTGTATTTACATACACACCCCAGGTCACAGGGAGAGAAATCTAAATAACGTTAGCCGCATGTGGTTTATGGGTTAAGTGGCTGCTCATCTTGGACATGAGATTATCTTCCAGGATGACTGAGTGCACACATCATTTGAGGGTAAATGAGGAGGCTAATGGGAGCTGCATTCCTAGGGCTGAGGCTTCGATGGCCTCGTGAAGTCCTAAGCGGGACCAGGCTGCAGGGGACACCAATCAATTTGGGCCATCTGTCCTCCGAAAACCCTCTGGCCACCACAGGCTAAGCCAGCATCCAGCAGCTGACCGAAGCTACCTGTCCTACCTGAGACTTCCTCACTTCCCCTCCTACAGCTTCAGACCTTTTCTTCCTCACCACCTGCACCTCCCCCATTTGTTCAGTGTGTACATGAGGGCTCCGGGTCTGACTGTGGGAGAGCGTATCCCAGATGGCCACAACAGCCAGGGCTGGGCTAGGCTGAAGCCAGGAGCCAGGAGCTTCTTCAAGCTCTCCCACGAGGGTGGCAGGGACCATCTTGGGCCATCTTCTGCTGCTTTCCCCAGCTACCAGCCAGGAGCTGGATCGGAAGTGGAGCAGCACGGAATAGAACCAGAGCCCAGATGGGATGCTGGCATTGCAGGCAGAGGCTAACCCTGCTATGCCACAACGCTGTTCCCTTGCACAAACCTTTAAGTGAATCCTCTGCATCAGCCAATGACCATGCAAATCTTTCTGGTTCAGACAGTTCCCCACACAGCACTTCCAACTGGAGCAAAGTACGACCATTTAAGGCTACCTCTGGCTCCTCTCCAGGACCCCCTGACCAAGCTGTGTGCAACTTCCGGGAGGGCTAACAGGACACACCCCCAGGTCCCAAGCAGGATCACAGCTTGGGACTTATTTCTAGGCTCTGGCCCCCATGGTGAAGGGACCCGTCCTGGCCAGGGGAGAAGGGGAAGCCACCGCCACAGCACAGGGCTCTTTTCCGAGCGGGAACAGCCATGCCTGTGTGAGAGGCTGCCTCAGCCCTGGACAATACAAATGTTCCCACCTCCCTCCTTTGCTGACCAATTAGAACATGACACTTGTTTTACAATTTGTGACAACTGCAAGGAGGAAAATTACAGGAGTCTGAAGGGCATTCCAAAGAAAGGCTGAAAAGCCCTAGTTCGACCCAGGAGGGGCTGAGGGGGAGACTGGAAATGCCTCTGCTGTCCAACGTCCAGTTAGCAGGGCTTCAGCTTCAGAGTGTGCAGAACTGCCTCAGCAACCCCCAGCCTGGACAACTTGATTTCAACCTCGACTGAGCTGAGCCGAAAGCTGCAGCAGGGCCACAGGCCACCAGCTACGTCTGCTTCCTATGGCATTTGGAGACACTCGAGAGAGCAGTGAAGCTTCAGCAGCTTGGCCATGGGCCCCGGTGGCCCCCACCTACTGAAGCGTGTCCTCACTCATGCCTCTGGGGGATGCTCAGACATTTCCGGCACCTGTCTCAGACTCACCTTCAGTATTTAACAAGTAATGCTTTCAAAGTCCTAAACGCCACTCAGGGCCGAGAAAAATCAGAGGCAAAGCAATAATTTCGTGCTGCACTAAACCTATTGCTAATGCCTCAACAATTAAATTAGTTATACACTGATGTGTACGCGCACACACTGCCTGTAACATCTGGGTGAGAAACACACCCCAAGATGCAGCACGAGTCTGATTTGGAGGCAAAGTGAGGATGAGAAGGAGGGGGCAGCTTGCCTACAACGGACAGAGAGAAACATCCACTGAAACTGGAAGTCACGGACCAAATGTTCCAAGGTGAACGCCAATGAGCCCAGAGCAATTACCAGTTAGCGCTTTAAGAAAACTGGAACCCAACTGGTAACTATGCTGCTGACTCCCCAGAACACTACACACAGTCTTGTGATCCACTGAGAGTATTTCAAAAGGAAAAAAGTAGTCAAAAATAGTAGAAAAGATGACCCCACTTCTGGATTAATTTTAAAGGTTTCACATCCTACTTTTTCAATAAAGGAAAAAAAGCATTCATGTCATGTATTTTTGAAGATGCATAGCATTCCGAATCAATCCCACTCTAACAAATTACAAAGAAAATCTCTGTGTGGTCAAATTATCTCCAAATCTAGCCAACTCTTACTATCTTTCACCCCCCCCCCCCAAAAATCTCACTATACTATCCCACTGTATTACACAGTTAACACAGAACAGTTGCTGGCCTCGGAAACTAGTCTGTACCCTGAAACCCCAGCAGCCGGGTCCCCCAGGGACAGTGAGCCAGGCCTGCAGTTACCCTTCCTTCACATGCCAGTGCCTCCTCTGCCCCATACACCACCACCACACCTTTCCTACCAAATTCCTGTCCAGGTGGATCTAGACATGCAAATACGGAGAGATTTCAGTCCACACTGCTTCACGTTTTACTCCAATCCTTGCAACACTGAGCACTGCCTGATGCCTGCCTTCTAATAACTCAACAGAGTCTGTATAACTTGAATTGTACTTTGCATTGATACTTAAAAAAATCTTTCCATTCCCTTGGAGCTGGGGGTCAGCATTAGGAGCAGGAAGCTGGACAATGAAGAATCTACCAGGTTCTAGTTTGCTAACAGATACCATGAGATAAGGCACTTGACTATTTCCTTGCAAAATATGCAGTCAGATTTTAAAACATGCAACACAGAAGAATGAAGCAAACCCATCAGGCCAAATAGGCTCTGCTAAACCAGGAGGTTTCACAGGAAGTCTAGCTCAAGGGCATATGTGGAAGACAATGAATGAACACAGCAGAGATCAGCCTACAGGTGAAGCTCAGCTCACACCCACTGTCATTTCACATGGCAGGAGACCACATGAAAGAACACCACACAGAAAACACAAATGGGGTGCTTTAAATACTGTTCAAGTTAATGTCTTAATGCATTGTAACAATTTTAAAGTAGCTTGATTAAACTAAATACCAGTTTGCTTTTTGATGAAGAAAATAAAGCTGTCACGTTTCAGGGTAATACAAATGACCTATTCATCACAATAAAGTAAATACAGTCTCAAGTGCCTTGGGTGTGATGCGTCACGGGTGGCGGGGACAGCAGTGGGGGGACAGAGAGCTTTTGGAAGAACCCTCGGTCGATACCAGCGCATCTCCCCTCAGACGGGCCAAATCCTTCTTCCGGAACAAGGCTATTCTGCTTGCTTTGAAACAGAATTAAGAGTTATGCCTCAGAACTTTTCCATTAGGGCCATTCATTTATCGGTGGCTTCAGAGTTCCATTGTAAAAAGCACCCGACAGCAGCCGGTGTGACCCACCACATCCTGAAGCAGCAGTATACATTACAGGAAAAGCCTTTGATGTAGGAAAAGAGAACGTGGGTCCCAGCGTTAGTAGGGGAGACACCCTAAGCACTGCATTAGCACCGAGAATTACCCTAACAAGCTCCTCTTCTAAATTCAGCCCATGAGAATGGAGTTTAGAAACTCAAGATCTTAAAAAGCCGGCACAATGGCTTGGCTGCAGAGTGGCCCTCTCCTTGGCCTCTCCAAACTCCTCTCCTTGTTTGACAGCTACCTGCTGACCAGTCCAGGGAGAGACAGTCACCTGCATTTGTCATCTCTTCTCTCTCAGTTCTGGTGCTGGATCCTGCTAAGGCATCTCTGTCAGGCCTGTTTGCACCTCCTGCATTGACAGCTCTCCCTTCTGCTGCTTGGGTTTTAACCTGTGAGCTCTGTTATAACTAAATGATCTAAAAACCTGCTGTACGACGGACTTTCAACCATAAAAAAGTGAGTCTGAAAGTTAAACATTTTTAGATACTAACAAACTCACTCCAAAAAATTCCTGTTTACTAAGATGCAATATGAAGTTACATGTTTATTCAGGCTTAAAGTAACAAAGAACCAAGGGAAGAGATTCTGTCTTTCCTTCCCTTCTATCCAAAGAGCCATATGGTCCATATCACAGATTTAAAGAAGAAAAGGTGAGGGCCTGACCCAAGATCACAAGCTAGCTTCGGTCTGGATCAGATTCCCAGGGGGACAACCACTGGGCACCTGGGACTCCGTGAGATGCCCTTCCCAGGAGGGGTGTGCCTTACCTGCAACTGAGTTGGGCCGCGGCATTATTAGCGAGCTGGAGCTCTGAGAATAGGGGACTGGACCATCTCCAGCTGAGGATTCCGCTTTGGGCAGGCCGCTCTCCGCCGGCCCAGGGGGCTCCTCTTCCGCCACCGGGGAGCAGTTATCTGCCCTGCGATCATGAAGCACTCCCTTCTGAACCCCTAACCTTAGGCTTCCGTCTTTATTCCACTCCAAACTGGAGCCACTCCGGTCATCATTTTCAGAAGAACTCGTAATTGTGGCTGAAATGAGAGACCAAAACACTTTGAAGGAGGCCGGGCACAGCTGGGCCTGCCGAGAGTTAAAAACCCACACACGCTGCCCTCCCCGGGATCAATGGAAAGTTTTCCGGTCTGCACAGATTTTTATCAAAGTATGTTTCATACAATGTGTTTTGGTAAATTAAAAGAATGCTGCTTATCAGGGGAAATAAACTGCTAAATCACTCTACAGGGAAGGAAAAAAACTGATGGGAAGATAATGAAAAAGCTGTCTGAAAGATCTCAGAGTTAACGGTAAATATATGTAGTCGGGAGATAATGTATCTTCTCCTTTTAACAAAGATGGATTGCTCACACAAGAATTCATATCTCATTAAATTCCTCTGAATCTTAAAATATCCTTTCCAAATTAACAACATTTGTCTGCAGAGGGTGGTAGGGGGGTGCAGGGGCTGGTGAGAGGATGGTTAATGCAGAAAAGATGCAGGAGAAAGTCTACAGAAACAGAAATACAATTATAAAGTCAAACAGAGAGTTTGATCCTTAGAATGAAAGTTTGTAACATCTGTTCATCTTGATCCGGGGAGACTGGCTTGACTGATGCCTTCAGCAGCGCAGAATGGAAAATCTCTATGCACCCAGCACAGGGAAAGTACTAGCACGGGAAGGTATGCTCTCACTGCAGAATGAAAATGTAACCTCTAACAAAGAAAACCAGCATGTGAGGGGGAAAAAAAGGAGGAAATTTTTTTACAAACATTTTGGCAAAAGAGCAAGAGCAATACCATGGCAGACAGCAGCAATATCCACCCTACAGAGCTTCTGCAAATAGCCACGTGGCATTGAAAGACCCTAAGGAGTGTAGGATCCCTGACCAGCACAGGTGACCCAGGCCCCAAACACTGCTGCACTGATGAGTCCTTGAGAACAGGGACTGTGCCTGCTAATTCTTCGTGTTCCCTCTTTGGTGCCTGGCCTTTAACTGTGAGCCTATTGAGTTGGAAGTGTACCCGGCCAAAGTGCTTATTCAAACCCAGGGGCCTGGATGAGGCGGTTTATCCACACACCTTGATGCTCACTTCACACTTCATGAGCTGATTGGTGGATCAGCTCAAACAGAGTCAAAGGGTCTGGGCTTGAAGTAAAGGCAAAACAATTTCCTTGCCACGACACAATTTACAATTCCAAGACCGCCCCTGCTTCTGGAGCTGAAGCCTGCCCTTTCCAGCCCTCGGGCTACTCCCTATTAAACATCACCCCTGCACAAGGAAGTCTCCTTGGAGTATCTACTGCAGGCTCATCGTTCCTTTCTTCTTCCTTTTTAGTGTTTATTTATTTGGAAGGCAGAAATACAGAGACGGGAGACAGGGAGAGAGATATATAGATAAATATTGAGAGAGAGTGAGGGAGGAGAGAGAGTGCTATTGATCAAACTTCCGTCCTCTGGTTTACTCCCCCAAATGGCTGCAAAGGCCAGAGCTGGGCTGATCCAAAGCCAGGAGTCAGGAGCTTCTTCCAGGTCTCCCAGATGGCTGCAGGGGCCCAAATACTTGGACCATGTTTCTCTGCTTTCACAGGTGTGTTAGTAGGGAGAAGGATTGGAAGTGGAGCAGCTGAGACATGAACCAGCGCTCATATGGCATGCTGGCACTGCAGGCGGAGGCTTTACCCATTATGCCAGTGCCAACCCAAGCTCATCAGTCCTTTTTCTGAACAGCACAGGATCTGGCACACAGTAAGTGCTGAATAAGCAATTACTTATTGCATCATAGAGGAAATGAACAAACATCAATTCCACTTGTGGTCAGAAACACTAGGCTTAACTGTACTGTTACCAGCTGGGGGTCTGACCAAAGCCCAGGCTGACTTGTAATGGGGTCAGTCACGCCTTTGGATGCTCATTTCCAATATTCTATCAGCAGTGTTAAACCACACCTCCATCTCTCTGGAACCAATCACAACCTTCCCTGTTTTCAAATGGATCATTTATCTGAGCACAAATACACCAGGTAAGACTCTGCTATACAAATGCTGCTGGGGGTGCTGATAATAGCAGCAGCTAACAGTTACTGAAAGTTTATGAGATACCAGGGACTACGCCAATGCTTTATAGGAACAGTCTTATTTATTAATGAGTATCACTTATTAATGGAGATTAATTATGACTGATAATTAAGTTAGTAAGTTGAAAGCACAATGATACAAACAGTCGTGGAACACAGGCTCTGTTGTAAGTCCAGTATTTGGAGGCACAGTTAGGTAGGCTCTAGGCTATCCCACCATCCAAGTGAGAGGAACAGATTCAGATGAGCAGTGGGGGTAATTTAAATTGGCTTTAATTTTGTGGCTGCTTTATTTGGGGCACTTTTTTTTTTTTCATTTTTGCAAAGCAGAGACACACAGAAACAGAAAGAGACAGAATTCCCACCCAGTGGCTTCGTACCCAAGTGGCCACAATGAGTCTGCAGCCAGGGGCCAGGAACACAGTCCAGGTCTCCCCCATTGATGGCAAGAACTCAACTACTTGAGCCACTATCACTGATCCCCAGGGGCCTCATTGCAGGGAAGCTGCACTCAGGAATCAAACGCAGGCACTCTGATGTGGGAGGCAGGCATCTTAACTGCAAGGCTGAACTGGCCACTCCTGGCACATAGTCTTAAGTTGAAAAATAAACAAAGCCAGAGTGTTGTTTTTCCTCATTTGTTCCCTGAAATTACCACACACTTCAGAATCAAAGCCCCAAGGACCTCAGGCAGCAGCGACTGGGGACTGGACTCCTCCACTTCCCATTACCAGTTACAGCCCTGACTTTAGGGCCCAGAGAGCAGCTGGGACAGCCCGGAAAGCCTACCCAGAGCCCATGGATTGCAGGGCAGGCTGCAGCACCAGTACTCACTAAGGAGCAAGTACCCTACACAGTGTCAGGACCTGATAGGTGGAGCCCTGAGGTCCCAGCAGAGACAGGAAGGAAAAGGGGTGGGAAGGGAAGGCTCCAGCTGCAGCGGCAGTAGCTGGGAAGAAAAGCCCCAGGAAGGCAGCCGTTCCACAAGGAGGATGCTCTAAAGCCAGTGTTTCTAAGTGAGGAAGGAGAGGCAGCCTTCCCTCATGGCCCTTAGGAAGTTCAAGTAAAAGAACCCAAGAGAACTGAGCCCCAAGGAGCCGGGAGGCTCTGATGCCGCGGGGCTCCCAACAAAGATGCCCCGCTGCACAAACACTCCTCCGCAAGACCCAACACCGGACCCAGCCTCCGCGGGCGGAAGTCCCAGCAGTGGACCCCAGACCCAGCCTCCGTGGGTGGAAGTCCCGGTGATGGACTTTCACTTGAGCAAAGAGATCTGCTAAGTCATGGAGCAGCTCCATGCCCTGTGAGTACAGCTTCCCCACACAACCTACAAAGCACACGGAATAGCGCAGCTCAATGGGCTCCAAAGGAGAAGGCTAGTTCCTTCCATACGCCACAGGCTACTCAAAAACCTCTCTCTTCCAGGCTAACAGAATTCAAACTCCTATCTAGGTTTACTCGTGCCCTCTAAGCAGGTGTGTATATACAAACATAACTAGGGCAGCACCTTAACTATGATGATTTAAAAAAAAAAAACTAAAAAAATAAAAGCTATTTGCCATTTTCCAGAGATTAAATAACCTTTAAAGGTCTCTGACAACTCACAAATTCTTTTTTTCTTTAATTTGAGTGGCAGATAGACAGACAGCAAGCTCCCATTTGTTGGTTTACTCCCCAGATGCCTGCAACAGCACAGGTTGGGCCACGCTGAAGCCAGGAGCTAAGGACACCATCTAGGTCTCCCACACAGGTGGCAGAAACCCAATTACTTGAGCCATGGCCTGCTGCCTTGCAGGGTCAGCATTAGGAAGCTGGAATCAGAAAGTGGAAGCTGGTACTTGAGCCCACGTATGCTGAGTAGGACATGGGCATCTCGGCTCGCGTTTAAGCCACTAGCCAAACCACCTCCAAATTCCAACATTTTATTCCTTCAACTGATAGAGATGCCAGCTCTGTCAATGGAGGCCATTATTACCCAAACTGGGTCTTGATAAGTCTTCCAACAGGTGTTCCAACCCTGCAACACGAGTGATCTGTCAGCCCCTAAGCCTCTTGTGGTCGTCAGGTCGGGTGGTGCCTCACAAGCTGGCGTTGCGTTAGGTTTGCTGCTGCTCACTGATTTCCATGCACTACTGTAGTTTGTAGTTTGAAAATCTTCCTCTGGAATCACAGCACATTAAACCAGTCCTACCAGTGCCCAGGGCTGGAATAGTTCCAAGGCATCTTCTCAATATATTAGGGTATAGACATGATCCTCACAACCCATGAGAAGAGGCACACAGGCTGAGAACCAACAGCTCCACCTCATTGGTACAGAGAGACACAGGAAGAACTAATCACACACATACACATGTGCACATGTGCAGACACACACACACACACGAATACCGGCTCATGCAACCCCAGCTCTTCTGACTATACAAGCAATGTGATTTGGAAAGCCCCTTAACTTGCTCAACACCTAAGAGGAGTCCTGAGGGTGCTTCAAAAAGTCCATGGAAAATGGAAAAAACCCTTTGGCACCAAATAAACTTTAATTCCATTTTCATGAACTTTCTAAAGTACCCTTATTACCTAATGCTCAACATCAGTTTGCAGATCACGAAGTCACCCACTCAGCCATGGAAGGTTTTGCTACGAAAGGTTCTACGGGAAAATGGTATTCCTTGTCCTTCCAAACTTTTCCTCTTAAAGGCTCTTTTGATATTGAATGGGGATCTGAATATCATCAGAGAAAGAAAAACACATGAGTACAGGTCCAGAGCCCAGTAAGTAGTTTGGCGGGATCTAAATCAAGTTACAGCGGGCACGTTTGTCTTGACAAATGCCACCTTCTGTAGGCAAGTACTTCAAAAAGCTTGTGAAAAACGGGTATTGCCTTTAGGTCCCATCTTTCCATGAATGATTTAAAGTACCCTCATGCTTGGTTGTGGTTCTGTCTTTCCTTTGACAAGCAGG